AAAAAAAAAAAAAAAATATGTGAAAGAAAAAAAAAATGTCATTGTTATTAAAGAAAGAAATGGATGTGTAACGTATTAATTATTAATTGATGAATGCTTGCGGATAATAATTTTCTTAAATATTACAAGCTTCCTTTTTTTTATATTTAGTTCATACATTTATATACATATATTAACATATACAGTACTGTATATATATTAGTATATTAGTATATTAGTATATGAATGTTTGAAACATCGTAAAATATCAATATCGTAATTAAAATTCCCATATGTTATTCATATGTTAATATCCATTCACTACTGCGGCTTTTTTAAACACCTGGAAAAACACCAGCTTTATCCCAAGTAAGAACATGTTCAATACTTGATTCATCAAAATTCTGAACTTCTCCTTGATAAGTTATTTTGTAAGTTTCAAATTTATTTGATGTAGGATTAGCTTGGAGAGCTTCTTGTATAACAGTGGAAATGAATTCACTAGCTCTTCGAACTGTTACTTTTGCTGCTTCAAGGTGAGAATACTTTATTGTTTAAAAAGAATTTAATGTAATTAATGTAAGTAAACGTTTATAAAAAAAAAAAATAAATAAATAAATAAAAAAGTTCAACAAAATGTCTTACATGAAAATTATGAAACATTTCATCATATATTTCAAGTATAACTTGTTTACTGGGAGATTTAAAACGTGAATTATCAAAATCTACTTCATATTTTGGTAAACGATATTTTTCTGGATTAGAGGCTCTATAAGCTAGATAAACTGCTTCATCACGTAATCTTTCTACATTTCCGGCAATCTAAAAATATATTATTATTATTATTATTATTAAAAAAGACTTAAAAGATAAAAAACGACTTAAAAGACTTTTCAAAAAAAATTTTCACCGAGTTTCGTACTTACAATTAACAATGGAGGTAAACCACCAAGTGATTCTGCCAACATAGGACTAACATAAGGAATACCAAGTCCCTCATTTACAACATAAAAACTAACGGATTGATTACCGATTCTTTTTAAAGATTCATCTCCTATTATTTTAATCTCAGGATTTTTCTGAATATTCCTAATAATATTCCCTGATCTTGTTCTAAATTCTCTATACGCATCTGAATTTGTATTTCTTGCAAATTTAAACCCTGGCAATAATGGTAAAAAATCTGTTTCATCAACAGCTGTATCATTAAATGATGGCATACTATGCGTTAAATCAGTCCATGGACTCTAGTGAACAGTGAATAGTGAATAGTGAATGAAAAAAAATTAAATTCGTGAAACAAAATTTAATTACTTTATTGCTGATTAAACAATTTTAAAAACATACCCATGAAACTATACCGGCTGGTAGAGGTAAACCTAAATCCCGTATCGCTAATCCTAATGAGACTACCAATCCACCTCCAGCACTGTCTCCACCAAAAACTATCTGTTCTGGCTTGTATGCTTTAAATCCAGAATCTTTAGGGGGATTCATTAGATATAAATAAGCTGCTAAAGAATCACATAACGCTGAAGGGAATGGGTTCTGTGGTGCTAATCTGTAACTAATCGTGAATATACGAGCACCAGATGTTCTTGATAATTTACAACAGAAATCATGAGCAATTTTACTATTTCCTGTACTATAAGCTCCTCCGTGTAAATATAAAACGATTTTTTCTTTTTCCCAATCATTTTCTTCGTTCCAATCTTTATCCATAATTAATTCACCTTTTATTTCATCATTTCTAGGAGTTTTCCAAATTGGATCTATAACGATATTATAAGGTTTTACAATTTTTTCAATATATGCTTGAGCATTAATTCTATATTCATGTGGAATACTTGTTTCATATAATTTAAGATCAGAAGGAATTTTGTAAGTAAAGATGGGAATCGAACTTTGTGCAACTTCAATTGTAAATTTTTTATAAGGTGGAGCGCCAAGTGTCCCAGCTATGGATACTATTAAATGAACTTTCAAATCCCACGATGGTTGCGGGGGTCCATGTTTAAAATGTTTAATTATTGTTGAAAAAATCAATGGAATACGTTTTAAAATCTCTAACACGATTACCGCGAGCATATTTTGAAGGAGATGATTATAAATTATAATGATTAGATTTATTTTTAATTGGGGTATATAGAGTATATATACATATTTTCCTTTATCAAAAAAAAAGGGTCAATCATATGTAACTGTATGACTTAGACTTGTGAATAGATAGAAGAGAACGAAAAAAACACCACTAAAATTGTTATAATCCATACTAATCTATACTAATTCGAGTGACAATCAATTACGCATATCATATAATTACCATATCAAATATTATCATATGTATTTTACTTTCATAATCGCTTATATAATAATTTTAAATTTTGCCGTTTTGCTTATATAACCTTTTTTTTTTATTATTTTAACCAATTAATTTAATTAAATTTGAAATAATTTCAGATCAGCGAAAAAATCAAACTTACAATTCCAAAATAGTTGAACAGAGTTGTTATCTATTTACTGAGTTTTGTATAATAACTTTAACTTTGCAAATACTACAACATATACGCATATAGGAGGAGTGAATTAATTCGAAATTCGAAAAAAAAAGGATTTACACTCGTGTAAATGTTATTCGTATCGGAAATCATTGCGAATTTCTGTAATATCGAATTGCGCCAAATTTGGTGAAATCGTCATGACCACTCCTCTAATAATAATATGTTTGAAATATCTTTATTTTTTTAATTATTTTTGATCTATTTGTTGATATACTAATATTTTAAGTTATATTGATTCTAATATTTTAAAGTTATCTAATCTTTTAATATTATTATATAATATTATTATATAAGAGAATAAAGTTTATAATATTACGGTAACGGTATTTTTGTGTAAAAAATTATTATTATTATTTGTAAAACGAATAATAAAGTTAACAATGTTTTATTTGATAATATAAATTAGATCTACGGACCTCCCGTTATAATATTTTCCGATTTTTGTAATACTCAATCTTTAAAAAATTTTGTGAAAAAATTTTGTAAAAGTATTCAGGATTAAATAATTTAAAGTTAATCCATAAAAGATGGCGGAATTTTATTGGTAAAATTGGAGAATTATGATAATTACTTTTTAGTGTAAAAGAAAATTAAAATTTTCTTGAAACAAGTGCTCCCTTTATGGGAGCTATGGGAGCAATACCCCTTATGATACAAGCCCGACGCTCATCACCCCGTTATAAAACGATCACGACGCTCACAATCATGATAAATCATAATCCCAAATCCTGACACACATAACATATTATCCTGACACTTATTATCTTTTTTTTAAACGTAATAATTTTGTTATACCCTTGTAATGAATAATAATTTTATTAATATGTAATAATTTTGAAATATTTCGCAAGAATTAATGTCTTGTCTTTATTTTAAAAAATTATTTATTTATTTTTTTCATTAATACGTCGCAAAATTGAGTAATAATTAAATATTTTTTATATAATATGATTTTTAAAATATTTCGCAAAAAATTAATGTTTTTATTTTAAAAATTATATTTTTATTAATTAATGATCATACTTTCGCAATATTTAATGAATTATTTATTATTACTGTAGTTAGGAAAATAGATTTCAGTTTTTGCTTTATATTAAATGTTTTGCATATAAAGATATAATCTTTTTTTGAGCTTCATCACAATTAATATAAAGTAAATATGTCTTGGAAATAAAACTTTATCACACAATTATCTTTTAGTTAAGAAAAATATTTCCACTTCAGCAATCAATCAGCTCGTAACTTAAGAAAATGCTCTTTTACCAATTTCTTTTGCTCCACCATCCTAAAGAGGTATTACTAAAATTCACCGGTGTTGATGGTCACCATACCAGCATTATGATGTACTTTTGGCCGGAATTAAAAATTTAATAAAATACTGGCCGGCATTACATCATAAATTCACCACTGAGTGACCGTCGCCACCGGTGATATTTAGTAATATATATATTTTTATTCATATTAAGTGTCGAGTTTGGAATTTTGAATTTTCGGGATTATGATTGGTCAGGATTGTGAGTGTCGGGTTTGTGTTATAACGGGATTGGGATTTTTTCGTAGTAAATAAGTTTGTTATAGATTCAATGTTCATTATGAGAATAATTTATTTTGATATCAAAATTATATAACATTAAAAAGTAGATTTTTTAAGTCGGCGCTGGTTACACATTCAATATGTTTTACAACGTGCAGAATTTTTAATTATATGATGATATTTATAAAAAAACTTTTCCATTTATCCTTTAACAGCTTCGTTCAAAATCGTCATTCAAACTATTTGATTTCATTTATAATTACCGATAGAATCACTCGATTATGAAAGTTTTTCGGAATTTAAGTTCTGTGTCACAGGACAAAGAATTATGGATTAATAAACTATGTTGCAAGTACATTTCGACGATTTTACATATTGCTGACAGTCTAATTGAAGGTTGATTTCGACTTGGATTCTTGGATGTCGACAACATTTTTAATCATTTCAATTGATATACTATATTTAAGGAAAGCGTATATACTAGTATCATCGCAAGTAGAAAAGCACCTATATAATTATAAAAGCACATATAATTATGTGTCATTTTATAGCATTTCCTTTAATTTTTGTTCAAAATAACATCAAAGGCGATATCGAATTGAAATAACCCTTCTCGTCTATAAATATATTGGTAGATTAAATCGAATGGTTATTTTAATACAATCAATAATAATGTTTTGCGGAATAATTGGAGTATACTAAAGTATACATATCGGCTCATCAGAAAAGTCTCCCAGAATTTTATATGCTAATGACAGCTTAAATATTAATTGGCTTGATTTTTCCAATCAGCCGATATGAGATGTATAAAGGATACCATATTAATACAGTACTGTATATAAAAAAAGGTAATGAAGTTAATATTATCTAAAATAATGTATTGAAAAGGCGAAAAAAGCCTACACCATACCTAATGATCTAATACTACTTCAGTATTACTGTTCTACTATACTACACTCTGCCAATTTCATTTAGTTAATACCATGCATTGTTGTACGTCTTATAATTAAAAATATCTTTATACTTGACAAGTACGTTAAGGAGTGTATTATGTATCTTGGTAAGACGATTAAGAATCGTCAGCACTTCTGTAAAATCATTCATAAAGTACGTGCCAATTTTTCTTTTAAAGCATAATGCTTTAATCTTCATCTTTGAAAGATTCAAATGTAAACCCGGGTGATTTCTTTGTTGAATAAGAGATAAATAATGAGATAAGATTTTTTTACAAGACTAATACACCTTAATTCTTATGCAAATTCACTTCGGCCCAGTCACAAAATAGTAATTCAGGTTTCTAAATCACGTGCTCACGTGACAATAGTCACGCAGTAAAATATATTTAAATCTATAAAGTACATGAGGCCGGTGGGGAATTGTTGTTTATTCGAAAATTTGATAGCAAAGAAAAAAATTAGCATAAATATTGGCAAAATAATGTAACTTAAGGAATCTCGCTTATTTCGCTTTTATTTTTGAAAATAAGTGATTTTTCACTTTGTTCTTTTGAAAATTATATTAATAATATTAGACTACAAACTGTGTTATGTGAAATAACTCTTTCCATGTTTATAATAAAAGCATAAAACATAATGTATGTATTTTACAATATGGTTATTAATGACATCAAGCTTCATAAGCAACTAATGAAAGATGATTATAGCTCTTCTGAGCAATAATTAACTCTTACGTTTAAAGCCAGACCTCGATATACCGATATTCGATATACTGGTATATCTTAAAAACTCGATATAACGATGAATTTTACTTTCCCACTATATAAGAGAACATATAAATATTGGTATAATTTTGGTATACCGATATTTTTCAAAAACTTTCATGTGAATCCAAGCATATCGTTTGACTGTAATATTATCTTTCCATTTCATCCGCTTTTTCTTCTTCATCTACTTTCTTACTTATCATGGTGTTTTTAAGCGAATCCAGAAATAGTAGATGATCGATCTTCAAAAATTCCGTGGATGAATGTATGTAACAAGAACGCTACTGTATATCAAGAATGAAAATCCATGGCTTTAACCGGATCAAGGTATTATTAAGAAGTGCATCATATACTGGTGAGATAAGATTTGTCAACAATGGATGCTGTCGCCACGCGTTTAATGAATGATAATTTTACAGAAGATAAATTTCGCTTGAATTTCTTTTAAAAGCATAATGCTTTTAATTCTTATCTCAGAAGATCTGGAAAGAATAAATTCTTTGAAGAAGAGATTATTTTATAGGAATAATAAAATTTTCATAGAATTTTGCTGCATTAATTCTAATATTATCATCTACTAAGTTTTACATTTCATCTTATTATATACTTAGAATTATACCATTATTTTCAATTTGAATGTGAATCACTTGATTTTTAATACAATAAATTCCATATTATGGTTGTTTAGTAAAACAGTTTTTCAATTGTAATTAATTAAGTTCAGATTTAATTTTGTGGAACAGATTTTTACAGTGGAATTTTCTTTCATAGTTTTGCACGTAGTGCATGATATCATTCAATAAATTTATGAAAAATCAAAATGTTTGTACTAATCCTGCTTATTCTATAACAGCATACAGGGTGCGTATGTTTGAACCAGATGCAAGAATATTCAGGAATCAGGTATGTAGTAAGCTGTTTCCTAGAAGAATAGTGAGTCATCTATTTTTCAAGTTCGATGGCGGAAAACAACAAAGCTTGAATTTTGGTTTAGCATTAATGATGAATATTTAATCATATCGTTAATTATACAAAATGAAAGTTAACATCAAAAAATATATTGAATTTAAATCAATTTTTAACGGCCAAAATTAAGTCAAAACTTACATCAATCTTCATTTGATGATTTTGTCAACCTTCCAATGAAATAAACCCATAAATTACTATTTTATTATATCATTACTTTGAAAAACATTATTTATCAGATTTTACACTATAAAATTGAAACATTCTGCCAAATTTACCTGCAAATTATCTATACTGTAATAGATTCTTTATCAACGTAAATATTAATAGATTATTTATTGCTATTTAAATGTTAATAGATTCTATCATAATAATTCTTTTATTATATTTTTTTTAGAATTTTCAAATTTACAGACTAATGTTTTAAAAATTTTCTATATAAAAAACCACATATGTCTGAAACTTTTGTATAAATTCTACATTTACGAAATAAACAATGTTCGAAAAATCATTCTTAAAATTTCCTCTTCCTGACTTGTTTATTTCTTGCAGTATCAGTAGGATTGCCACTTTCTGCTATGTTGAATTTTGGAATGAAGGACTATGTTCTTTACATAGCCGTCAGTGCAATTTTTTATTCACAGTGATTTCAGTACATAAAAAAGCTAAGAGTCGAGAATAATAATCTTTAGAGGCTAGGAATATCCTTGTATTGGATTTTTCCGATTTTCCGCCCGTATTCTTTTACATGACAGAGTGTTTCAATAAGAAGACAATAGCTTCGCTAGTTATTGCTGGCTTAACGATTGTAATAGGGATGATATTTCAACTAATTGAGCTAATTTTCAATATAAAAAAATACCTGATTCTCTACAGAGATCTATTACATAATCTTAATGGTCTTTTCATTCATAATGGTTAGTTTTGCATCTGTATTATCTTACGCAGCAGAAGAATTAAGCACGACAACAATAGTCATTAGTATTAGTTGTGTAATAATTATAATATTATTAATAATAAGACAAACAGTAAAGCCAGATGTCAAGACAATTTATGCAATGGGATCATCATTTATATCTGCTGGTCTGGTTATTTATTTGATAGTAATCCTGATTTCGATGCTAAATTTCAGTTTTAATTAATAATTTGGTAGTAGGATGTTTTCTTGTTGCAAAGGTTATAAAATATTATGGATGAAATAGATTACTATATAATCTATTAAAGGTAATCAATATAGTTTTATGGTTTGTTTTATTTGAGGTATTTTAAAAATGTCCGATAATTTCCGATTGAACAAATGCTGCGTATTTAATGATCCGCAGAAGATTACATACAAATGATTGACGATTGTAAGTTGTAACACAGGCATACAACTTTGATATAAATTCAGATTGAAAATTTTTTGACCTTAGAAAACAAATTTTGGCTTATTTGGCGCAGCTATAAATATGGGAAAATCAAAGAATAAACCTCGAGTTAAAGGAAATGCACAACCAGCGAGTAGCAGGTTTGGCTTAATTTACTTCACAGTTCACATACTTTTTAGATCGAATTCTTTATTAAATGTTATTTTTTTATTGCCTCCTTTTTATATAGTCGAGCTGCAGAAATTATTGCAACTAGTGGTCAAGCACCAATTCAAAATTTAGGAGGTTTTGCACAGTTCTTAGGTGGGACAGCATTTTCGAGCACATCAACTTTAGCAACAAGCGATATAGATAGTGCTGTTAGTAATGCAACTCTCGATCCCGAGTTGGTCCTTATACTTAAAAGGCTATCTAAACGTGATCCTACTACTAAACTAAAGGCATTAGAAGAATTTGAAGCATATTTAAAGAGTAAAGAAAGAAATGAGAATGAATTAACTGGAATTCTTGATTTATGGGTAAATATATGTAAGGATTCTTATTGTTTAATTGATTTTGATTCTACAAAAAAAAACAAGAGCATTTACTTAGATATTATTTAATATACAGACGAAATTGTTTGTTAAGTTGGGAATTGATGTAGATCGTAGAATTAGATATGCTACATATTCTTGTCATCTTACTATTGTGAAAATAATAAAAAAACGGATCGCACCTTTTCTTAAAGAAATTCTTCCTGTTTGGATAATTTCTTTGTTTGATCAAAGCAAAGACGTTGCTAGGGTGGCTAATGAATCATTTCAGGTTGGTCCTTAGTTGAAGTAATTTTGTTAGTATGAAGTTAAGAAAGTTAATTTAAATTGGATGTTTTAGGCAGCTTTTCCACCTGAAAAACGAGTCGACGTTCTGGTTTTTGGACAGGAAGAAATATTATCTTATATTACAGATATAATTTTGTATAAAACTCCGGAAACGCTAAGTAGGTTCCTCTTAATATTATTGTTATAATTGAAAAAGAATTTAGATTGAAAGTCGATATAAAGAATTAGAAGTAAAGTTTTAATAAATATGTCCTGTTTTAACATTAGGTGATCCCAGATTTACATCAAAAGAAGACATGGACTCTAAATATCTTAGAGTTGTTGCAAGTTCATATTATTCTCTTGCTCATATTATAAGTCAATTAAAAGAAGACGAATTGGGAAAAAGCGCACAACAATATGATAATTTGTTTGATCATAGTAAATTTTGGGCGAATTTGTCTAATGACACTTCAGTCGTGCGGAAATCTTGCTATAGTTTAATAAAAGTTTTGGTGAATAGACGGCCATGTAAGAATATATGTTAAAATTATTTTTTTTTGCTTGCTTTAAACGATTTAGATTAATATTATCATTTTTTTTTTGTATAATAGCTGAAATTGAGAAACGATTAGATATGTTTAGTAATACATATCTAATGAAAGTTTTTAACGATAAAGATACAAGTGTTCATGGAGATCTATGGGACTCTCTTCTTGTATTTACCAAACGTAGGTTCATATTATAATTTTGAATTTATATATTACATGTACTTTTATATTTGCTTACATATGTAATATTTGCTTGCAGAATTTCCTGAGTCTTGGTTAATAGCCAGTAAAAAAAAGCCAATGTTACCAAAATTATATAACTTTCTCCGATCCGGTGCTTATGGTTCAGTGAATATTTCATATCCAAGTATATTAGCATTAATTAGTCATTTTCCTAAAGAGGTTTGTTATAGTTAATCTACCGCTTTATACAATTGAAATATTATTAATTGATAAAGGTTTGATTTACCAATTATATTTTTAACTTTTAGCTAATAGATTCTGATACACAATTCTATGAAGAATTTTTTTCGAATTTTTGGAAAGGTCTATTAAGTCCTACCATTGATCGATTCAATTCTAACGTATTTCTAAAAGCATATTGTGAATGTTTGATATATTATATCATTAAGTTAAGGTGAGCTTATTTCTATTAATTTTTCTTTTTTCTAATTAAGAATATTTCTTGCTGATATTTTCCATACCAAATTTGTCTAGAAAGTTAGAAAATGAAGATAAACAGATTTTTGTTGTCGAAAACAAATTTTTTGAATTACTAGAGAATTACTTAGTGGCATTTAAGGTAGATAAAAGAAGACTTGCAATATTGTTATTCTAATATAGTTTAATAATGCGATATTAATAATTTTTTTTTTTTATGAATTTAGTCTAATACCAAATTTCAGACGGAACAAATGTGTTCTACCATAGCAATACACATCTCCATATTGTCTTCCAAGTTACAAGGGAAAGGTTTGTTATTCGTTAATAAGTTTTTATTATTTTATTTAATATAATTATCTTTTAAAATAATTTATTCTTTTAGGCGTATTAAAAGTTTTATCCGAAGTGCTTGAAGGACTAACTACACGAGTTATAACTAGTGGAACTGTTCCCAATCCTGGTCCCAACGTTGAGAAAGATTATATCGAATTCTCTCAAAGACTGTCAAGTCTCCTTGTTTCATTGATGGAAGATCAACAAGAAAATAATGAACTTTATATTATGGTTGGTTGTAATTATAACTTTATTATAATATAAATTGTTAATTAATTTGCAAATTTATTTTAGGTGACAGCTCTTATAGATAAGAATTTCTGCTTGGCATTAAATAGATGTAAAGAGAATAATGGTATATGAGCTTTGATATATATATGTATTTTATTAATTTTAGTTTAATTCAGAATATCATTATCTAAATATTTATTTAATATTTGATTAAAAGGTTGTTCTATAGGGTTGAATCTTTTGTTGCTAAATTTGGCGAAGAATTTCCCCAACTTTATTTTTAGCCACTCAACTACCAAACAGGTATAGATCTCTATAAACGTATTATTATTATGTTTTTGTTATATTGATAATATATATTTGATGATAACAATGATAGGCATTAGACGATTTTATCGAAACCACATTCAACAATCTTGTTATAACTTGCCCATTAGATGCAATTGATTATTTATTTGAATTCTTTTCGATACATTTGACTTACGTACAAGAATCACAAGCTCAGAAAAGATGGCATGATCTCATTCGAACTTTATTAGAACTCGATGAGTTAAAGGAAAAACTCGAACGTGTTCATCCTTTAATAATTAAAGTAAGTCGTGATAAATTAATTTTTCTTTGCAATATGTAATATTGATATCAAGTATTCTTAGCTAATTTAATTTGAATTAGGTCTCTAATATTAAACTTTCGAGTACATTGATCAATGATCAATTTAATGAATTTCTAGTATTTCTCACTAATGAGTTAATTAATGATAAAATTGATACAACTACGAAAGAGTCAATTGAACATGTATTAGAAACCTCCCTTTTATCAAAAGGTAATGCGCTAAAAATATATTATGTCTATAATTATTGGTCATTACTAACTTTGATAATTTAATTATTCTCTGCTTAAGTTTCTTTGTCGGATCAAAAGACTAAGTTTGAAATCGTTAATCACTTTTCAAAAGCAATTGTTGCTTTTGCACATTCTTATTACGTTGTTACTGAAGATTCTGTAATACGCGATGATGTTATAATTTTGATTTTGCATATTTTCACAAAATTATGTAATGATTTGCAATTCATGGAAATTTTATTGGAATCCCATTTATTACCAATTTCTTGGGCAATATTTGAATTAACTTTTGTAGAGACTCATGAAGGATCTGATTCAAAAGTTTTTAAAGATATTGAATCATTAGTTCAAAATTGCTGGAATCAACTTTCAGATTCTTGTCGAGCTCATCAAAAAGAAGATGTGGTGTTTAGCCACATTTCACAACAGATCAAAGAATCTATTTTGAATATTCAATATGCTGTCAGGTAATAAAGCATGGCTTCATTTATTGAATTCTTAATGATTGGGTAATTAATGTGCTGATTATTTTTTTTTTAGTCCCACAAATTTTGCACAACGTGTTATTAAATTATGTACAAGTCTTTATCAACATGAAAATGCGACATCACAAGAGCTCATTGCACCTTTCCTTCTTAGCGACAAAGAATGGCGTCAACTCAGTGAACCTTTGTTAACTTCGTTTGTTAATCCTTCTTTAAATATTATTGATCCAATGATACTTATTACTTCCAATGAAGAGAAGCAAGCTGATAATCAATTTGAAACTCAATCTAACATATATGATACCTATGGATTAAGCGCTTATGCGCGGTTAGGTCTATTTGTGATAGAATTAATAAACAAGATTGGTATCGAGTCATTCTTTGATGTCAAAAATTCATCGATCGATGGAGAAAATAGACGATTGACTCATTGGGTGCTTTCAGAACTATTGTTGATGCATGTTTTATGTACTGATATTTATCGGTCACGTAAGAAAGGACATCATCTTTGGGATGCTACCATTACCGAAGAAAGTAATTACCATGGGTTTAAAGCATTCCTTATAGAGTTTCGTACGATATTAAAACAATATGTGAAACATATGGTACAAAATATGTCTATAAATTTACGATCACTTGCGACAAATATGAAGACCGGAAATTTATCTGAGAAGTGTCCAATAATTGATTTATCAAGTTTATTTATTGATATTTTGAGGCGTTCACATGAAAAATATTCGTATTGTTGGGCAAGAACTTTGCATATTTTATTATCGATTATCTTGAAAGAACTAGATGTAACTATTGTTGATGCAGAAGAATTTTTTGAAATTGTTGAATTGGAATCATCTAATTGTGAGTCTAAGCAATATTTTTTTTTTTACTTAAATCATACAATTCCGCAATTTTTTATCTGTTTTATTAATCAAGAATGATCAACTATTAGATAATCTTGTCACTAAAATGGCTTTAATCTTATCATTAAAACAATTCCTTGAAACTTCTAGTAAATTCAAAAATTTTCAGAATAATCTGGTTGATAAGTTATGCAATTTAAGTGCAACTGATATTTTCAATATAGACGCAAATAATGGTATTATTTTCGTTAATTAATGTTCAGTTTTTAACATCATATTCAAAGTTCTTAACATTATTTACCTCATTTTAAGGACAAGAATATTTGTATCTTTTGATAATAAGCACAACAAGAGACGATGAGTTTTTCCTGACTCCAAAACGTGCCATAGACTTATTGGAATGTATTTTGAAATGGCATGATGCTGAGGGTGATAAACTATTGTTTGACCCTAAATATTCCCATATTCAAATTCAAATTTCGCGTCTTTTTATCTCCATCATTTTACAAATACAAATTTCTCAAGAATCACATTGGAATTTTATTTTCCAGTGTCTACAGAATTGGTTAAAAGTATTGATTTAGGGTTTTTTTTGCTTGTTTATATTCTTTGTCTAATTTCTAATTTGTATTATTAAATATGTAGGAAAATGGCCATTTAGTACTTCGATATGAAGCCATTTATTTATTTTGTCGTTTAAATTATTTGCATGAAACTGTAGCTAAATCCAACAAGGTAACTTAATGTGAATTTATATGTGCTCATAATAAATGTTTGTTGTTATGCATTTAAATTAATGATTAATTTATTAAATGAAGTACGGATCTGAAGATACATCAGACAAAGGCTTATATGTATGTTTCCCTGTATATAAACCTATAATAGACGAACAACTCTCATATTTCTTGTTTCAAGAAAAAGGTATATTTATCATTATTAAAATTATTTTGGTCTTGATTTTATATTAATATCACATGAATCTTTATAAAGACCATCAGAAAGAAACTTTTTCAGAACAGTACAATGAATACTTGGAAATTTTATGTGAATCATGTCAGAATTTGTCTAAACCGTTTTTAATTAATAAAAAGGATGAGGTATTGTTTTTAGCGTTAATATAATCCTTTTTTTCCGAAATACTTAAGTGTTTAAAATATATTGTTTAATTTAGCTTTATTCCTTGTTAACGGTGCCTCATGATGGAATTCAAAAATGTTCTTTTAAGCATCTTCATGTTCTAATTATACAAAAGATAATGAGATTATCGGAAGAATTAGAATTTACGGATGGTTCATATTTGTTTAATCAATGATTTGTGAAGCATGTTGCTTAATATATTATTTAACATATTTTTGTTATATTATTAGGCGAAACAATAAGTGCGGAGTTTGATAAGGGATTGATACCCTTAATTATACAGACACATGAAAGTAACTATGTTACCCACTCAGCAAGTACTGATGTCTTTGTAAGTATTATTTTTGTTTTTTTTACTAATTTATTTAATATATTTGTGTATTTATTCTCTCACTCTGTTATTAGACTGCACACAAGATATTCGGATATTTGCTTGGTTGGATGCTTGTTTTTGATCACTTTGAATATGCGGTATATAATTCTTGAACGATTATCTAATTTTCACTAATTGATTTTTTATCTTATTATCTTATTAAAAATTTCTTTTGTTTACAATTAGTCATATAAAGTTAAAACGCAACTTGTATCATATCTTAAAGAATCAAATAAAACGTCGAATTTATTAATGTTTATATTCGATACGCTAGGATTGTCTGAATTTAATAAGCCATACGATCTATCAAAATGGGATATATCTGAGTTTTATATTGAAGGTGATATTATATTTTAAATATTTTATTTTATTTTATTTTTTTAAAAACAAAATATTCATCATTATTTTCGATTTATTAGGTTTTGAAATTCAACATAGTTTTGATCTTGGATTTCCTTTGCTTTGCGCACATTTGTATTATCGTTCACTAAAGCATATACCATCAATTGTGAGGTACGTAATCAGAATTATAATTACATATTAGATTATGTTATTTATTAACAAATTTAATTTAATTATAATAATTATGATAGAATATGGTGGTCAGAATGCAAAAAACGGCAATTAACTATTGCAATTGATAGGTATTTAATAAATCATTATAATTAATTCTTGCGTATTCAATATTAAAATTTTTTATTGATAATCATTTATTGAAATTTAGCTATACAGAAAAATATTACAGTCCAATTATAATTCAAGATCAACTTGAAATGCTTCAAAGTAAAGATGTTAGGTCGCAATTAGAAGATGAAAAATTTATGATAAGGATCGCTCGTAGTTCAAATGAAGTAATTGCTTCATATATTGTTGATGAATATATTATGGAACTTAGTATTAAAATGCCAGTTAATTTCCCATTACGTCAAGCGGAATTTAATACCCTGGAAAGAATTGGTACATCAGAAGTTGCAGATCTTAAATGGGCAAAATTGCCTGTTCAAACCGTGGTTAATTCTCGGGTAATTTGATATTTATTAAATCATCGTACAAGATTTATCTCTATATCAAATTATAATATATTTTTATTTTTGTGTAGAATGGTAATTTGGAAGTTGCTTTGAATTTATTTAAAAATAACATAAGTCTCCGATTTAAGGGAGTTGAAGATTGTCCTATATGTTATTCTGTTGTAAGTCTCGATGATAGATCTTTGCCAACCAAAAAATGTATTACTTGCAAGAATAAATTTCATGCATCTTGCCTTTATAAAGTAAGTTTATTTTGTTATTTCACCTCCTTTTATCACGCTGTAAGCAATTAAGCCCATATTACTATTATATTTAATACTAATTTATATATCATTTTTAAAATTCATAGTGGTTTCGTAGTTCAAATTCGACAAGCTGTCCTTTATGTAGAAGATTATTTTAATTGTTTTATTTTGTTTAAATATTACGTAGTTCACGAATGAAACGAATATAAAATATTTATTGTTCGTTTCGCCAATTATGTGACCGAATTTACGAGACAAAGATAGACATTATCTATTAAATATATCTGATATAGAGTTTTAGCGGGCTTTTATAGTATTATCAAATATTAATCTTATATTAAATTAATCTTATATTAAACATCGCCTGAAATTGTTGCAATGATTACAATTTACAAATTATTTTTTTTATTAATATATATAGTCTTAATCAGGAAATATTTTTATTTGCGAGCATATTCATAGATATGTCGTCTCTGGGCCCTTCCTCGATCATTATATACATATCATACATATCATGAGCTCGATCTTCAGCTTAGTCTTGAGGACCATACTAGGCCGGGAGTTGTAAATAATGTAATTTTAGAGGTGCTTTCAAAGAGCCATTAATCTCAACAAAAGTTGACAATAACCTTGAATATTTTCTTGCTTATTATTTTTTTTTTCATCTATCTTTGATTGAGGCATTATTATATAGGAATAACTTGAGACTTTTTCACAAATACCTATATCAAGCAAGTATCCCAAAGTCCTATCTCATCTAAAGATTTTGGAGAAAATAAGATAAAAAATCTAATAATTACAAAAAATTTTAGGAATAATATAGGATATAGGATTGGGATAATTGGATATATAATGGAATATAGAACATTGGAATAGGTGGGATTCTCCCATACTTAATGATAATACAAAGCAATGAAATTGAATTACAAATATGATAATTTATAGTTAATCCATAGGAAAAAAATTTAAGATTTTTAATATTACAAATGAAAATTGGATTTTATAAGATTAATTGGAAATGCAGATTTGATATAATCATCAATATTTTTATTTCAATTATAATTTACTTATTTGAAATTGAAAACTATTGGATAGATTAAAATTATTAAGAAATTATGCATTTTTTATGGTGGAATTATTATTAGTATTGTACCCATTATTTCAAAAATGATAGTTACAACTGTTGTTCTAAATATTGTTTTTAGTGTTTGATTTATTTAATGATTATAGTAATATTTATTCCAATAGTTATAAGAATCTTTGCTTTGGGAATTTTGTATCTGCTTCATAATTTCTGCTATTCCAGAAATTTATATATATAAAATATTACAAAATTATCTGCTCTATAATTACTGTTATTCCAGGAATTTTGTATATATAAAATATTATAAAATTATTTACTCTACAATCTTTGGTTTAGTAAAATTTATTATTAATAATATCTATATTATAGTATTTTATAACTAATAAATTCAATTTATTATTTGCCTGCTAATAATTTTGAATTTAAATTATCATATAATTAATTTCTAAATATAGTAAAAATTATCATAAAGTTCTATTATAAACCTTTATTTATTGTATATTAAGTTTAGTAGTAAAGTTTGACAAATTTAAATTTTATATAATAAGCAAATTACTTGTATTACAAATATTATAGAGACAAATTTGCCTGCTAATTTTTTAAGCAAAATTTTTGGATATTCAATTATAAAAGGATAAAATATAATTTATTAGAATTATTTTATTAAAAAAAATTCAATAATATAATTATATATCATTAGTAATGCTCTTCATAAGCCATTTCAAGCTATTCAAATCTTACTTAAAAAGGTCTAAGCTTTGCAAGCCTCATCAAGTTGCCCTTTTAGATAAAGTTTACTTAACTTGAAATAACTTATGAAAAGTACTAATCATTATGTAATAGAATATTTGCAAACTGGAAAAATGTTAACAAATTAGCATCCTTTAGTAAAAAGCATATAAAATAAATTGTGAATAAACTATTAGACCTAAAGATATATGGTTACTACTATTGTAAAATGAATCTAATAAGCTAAATTTCATCTTATTGTGATTATTAGATGCAAGTAAATTTTTTAAGATCAAATTTCTAATTTTAGTTTAATTTTTTGTTATAATTAAAATTAAATATTTACTAGTAAAATCAAAATAATGCTAATAAAAATTACACAAAATTGATTGTGTTACAAACTTCTCTTAAATTTTATTTGAAAAAAATATACAGGTTTAAAGTAAAAATTTTAAAATTTGTAAATAATGAATTATTTAATAATAATTATTTAGTTATTTAATTAAAAAAATAAATATCATAGATATAAAGTTTAAAATTAAAGCTATCTAAAAATATATAATTCATTATATTTTTCATTACACATTAAATTTAAATGATAAATGATTTTAATAGACAAATATGCCTGCAAAATCCTATAAACTAATAAGGAATAAATCAAGCAGTCTTGCTATTTCTATTTTTATAGAATTTGCTATATCTATAATTTTACTGTTATTTACAAAATGTTGTATTTTAATATTTAAACTCTTTCAAAATAGCTTATTTGATCAAAGCCCATAGTACTATATAAATATTTGCATTATACAATGAAAAATGTTCTATATTTTATATATTTTAGTTTAATATAGAGGTTAGACCAAATGCAGTTGTCATAGTCTTGTAGGACATTACTTTAGCCTAAAAAAGTTATATATTAAATATGAGTGAGTTTTTATACCAATTTTAAATTACACTTTCAATAGATATATGTATATATAAATATCTGATCATTTCTATGGATAGTTTTGCGTCAAGGACTTCAAACACTTATAAGATAGGTAATATCTCCAAAAATATTCATAGTAAATTACATTTTTGCCCATAGCTTGTCAATATTACTCCGATTTCCACCATTCAATTCCTCTTATTGAGATAATTCAAATGAAGCTATATATCCAATTGCAGGTTGTCGAAATAACAATCCCGTAATTTACATAATTTCTAAACTATCTCTATAATATGCTTTTTTTTAAAAAATTTTACTAATTAGGCTAAGCAAACTTGTTATGTTATCTATTTAAGTAATTTTGAGATTCTGATGTGATGAGCACGACACTCAAGATGGATGTATTTGCTGAAATAGATTCTAATTAGAATGGTTATAGATTAAATTTTGATTTATTTTTCAAAATTAATCAAACTTACTCTTTTTATAATTATTCCAAGCTTTAAAAGTATTTCAGTTCTTTCAGCAAGGCTATTGTAATATTTATTGTATTTACCTTTAGTGAGTAATGAATGAATATAATTTGTCAAAATTTTACAGTAAATAAAAACCACGCCCAAAAATCATTTCGTAATGGTTTATGTTTACCTACATATATATAATTTGATAGCATATCAACATGGTATGCTTAAATATATATCTGAGAATCATATTCTGGTCTTTCAGTTGGGGGTTTCTTTTTTAAAGATCATATAAAATATTACATATATGGACCTTCAGGCAACAGATTCTCAAAACTTTCGTCTGCCCCTCCCCTAAGTGCTATAGTATTTGCATTCTTTCATGGTAATGCAAGTAGTACAAAACCATTTAGGTCTGAAATTTCAAATTTAGAAGAGTAGTGAGCTGATTGTTAATAGTTCATACATTTCCCAATACAGTACTAATAAGTTATTTTGTTTGGCATATTAATTAACGCAAATATGGATTAATAAAAGAAAGGTTAATTAGAGCAACAAATATCAAAAAAACTCCGACCCACTTACTGGCGGCAAGCTGTTCTATAGTAACGTGGATGTTTTTGGCGGGTTCGATGATAAGAAGTGGAAAAGAAAAAATGTAACATGACTATTGAAATTTATGTTCCATTTACTTATAATAACTCGCAGATTTTTAAGCAGGTCCATATTCCAATGGACCCGAAAGTTTGGAGCGCAAGTAAGAGCAATTTCTGTTAAGCTTAGGAAACTTGGACCATCAACTTCTTGATCCGTGATTATATCTGTGGTTTGGTAAGTTCGGATATATAATAATTCATAATCACATGATATCAATTGTAGATTAACCAGATTAACCTAGTTACCGGTTTTGAGAGTGTTAAGATAAATCACATGATTTTCGGATTTAATCAAAAGCATCAAGTCGTCAAAATTTTCAGTATATATTACTACTAAAGAATCTATTATTCCTATACTATTTATCAGTTTTCGGTAATATAAAAATTAATCCACAGCCCGGTCTGCTAAATTTCGTACAATTAGTTTATAGGCTCCTCTCATTTTTATATAATACATCGTATGAACGATCGACAAATCCGTATCTGAATAAATTAAAAGCCTATTCGTCAAAACAAAGCCTTAATATGAGAAAGGTACACGACTTTCAGGATCTTATTATGCTAAGCCTCTGCACATTATAATATACATATAATCAATATGAAATACAAAAAGCTTCTATTCATATAATGTTTCGAAAACAACTCATCATTTTAGCTATTGTTATTCTAGTTCTCTCCCCAACTTTTACCTATTCTGCAGATGATGTAATCAAAAATGATTTATCTGGGGGCAGGATATTACTTTCTATTGTCAAGATGGAACAAGCCAAAGTTGTTGCTCCCAACTAGCGCACCGAATCTCAAGTGACCATCTCTCCCGATGCGCTTCAATTGTTCTGATAAATCATAGTGGTTATAATATGACTTTGGAAGTTGAAAATCTCGAAGATGGCCGCTGGCTCACACAAGAAGATTATGTTCATTATGTTGGTGCCAACAGCACTAACATAAACTGCCAGCCACGTAATCTTACAGATAATGAGAACGAGACTATTTCTAGTGTTACGAGTCATTTTCTCGGTGGAGTGAAAGGCTTTGCTAGTTTCCTCATACATGACGATATGACGAGTAAATTAAATATCTCCTGGGAAGTTCCTACAATTGGCACACCTCAATACGAATTTAATTTTCTTGGCGAATTATCTTATCAGCATTATGTTGTTAATAAGAACAAAACCTTTGATGATACAGTCTACCAAATTATAATTAATAAAATTAAAATTAATGAAAATAAGACAATGTCACCACCCATTTCATTCATTATTGCCATTGGGCTCCCTGTCATTGTAGTAATTATTATTGGAATTCTTGTCATAGCATTATGGTTTAACACACCTACACGTATACAACCTAGGCCAGCGCCTGCAGGTTTTCACACACGTGGACAACGCATTAGGCCAGGACCACCTGCAGAACACTGAGCGGCATTTGGGTAGTTGGGTTATTGTAAATCTTCCAGACAGTTTAAAATAATTATTAGATTTGCGTGCAATTTAAGCTAGCCCTTTAAGCATAGTCTCTGCTTTAATTAATAATTACAAAAAACATTGGTAAAAGTTATGTAAAATAGTATTAAGTAGACAGAAGTATTTTTATAAATTATTAATTACTAAATTAGTGTTAAAATATTCTTGAATAGCAGAAATCAGAGATATTTTCAATTTAGTGCGTATCTTAATATTATTTTTATTTGCTTTTTTCTGCACAAAATAAGGTATTTTTACACAACAATGTATCAAGATATTTTAAAAAATTTCTCTGATCTTGTTTTCTGCGCAAAACATGAAATGAAATGTTAAAAATTACAACCACGCAGCCAATTTTCCATCAAGTATGTACATTAACATATCCTATACCAGAGTCAGACAACCATACCAAATTGCGCAACCTAGAGCTTCCTTCTGAAACTATAACTGAGATAGAATATGGTATAGGCAAAACGGCTGGTACGTAAACTTTTACTAGTTTACAGTTATCACACAGAAAGGACTTTACTTATTGCTCTTCCATTAATGCCAAGAACAGTATTTGAAGTATGTCTGAGATAATTCTCCGGAAACCTCAAAAGTAATGTATTCTCCGGGAACGAGAGGATTTGGTGAAATTTTTACGAGTGGGTTTATAAGGGATCCGCTTGATTTGCAGAAAGTAGTAATGGCATTGACAATCGAAACCAATAAAGTAAATGCATAAATCATAGTCCTTTTCATGATTTTCTTTTTGCGAGTAATAGACAACTTGGCAAATATCTCGTTGTAGTAAATCATTGTCTTTTTATATAAAAAAATATTCCCACCTTTTGAAGCGAAATGAGAAACGCTTTCGCAAATCCATATGACAACCTAACTAGTTTAGGACAGGGCATGACGAACCTAGCGTCACCTCTAAAAAATGGTCAATTTCTTAGAATTAAGGTTAGGACTAGAGTTAGGATTAGGGTAAGGGGATTAGGGTTAGTAATTTGTTACGTAAGTGTTGCTGTTCTTCAATTTTATAATTATTCTGTGAACAGGAACTTTTTTTATAAAAAAACTCTAATTGTCGCCGGCAAAATGAATCCGGCTACAGGGCATATTTACCGTTGTAACACCACAAATTTTTATAATTAAAATTTCACCCCACGTGACCGGTGCATTTAAAGGGAATAAATAAGGGATGTGAAAAAAATAATTTTGGAGAAAAAATATATATATAGGTCACGTGGGGATGAAAAAATTGGTGGTGTTACTGGGGAAAGTGGGGAACATTTGATAATCACATGATTTTTTGGTACACATTGATGTCAAAAAAAATCGCATTTGTTTTATTGGTCGTAATGAAGTAGGGAAAGAATCCAAGGAATCTAAGACTATCTATTGTTTCTATACTATCAATTTTCGTTAATATAACATTAACTCATGATATGTTATATTGCTAAATTTCGTCCTAATCGATGATATTCTGGGTACAATGTAATACTTGACCGGTGTGTACACACGAAAGATCGGCAAATCCGTATCTGAATAAATTAAAAGCCTATTCGTCAAAACAAAGCCTTAATACGAGAAAGGTACATAATCAATTCTTTAAAATTGATAGGTCTTATTATGCTAAGCCTCTGCACATTGTAATATATAATCAATATGAAACCACAAAAAGCTTCTAACCACATAATGTTTCAAAAATTGCTCATCATTTTTGCTATTGTTATTCTAATTCTCTCACCAACTTTTACCTATTCTGCAAATGATATAATAAAATATGATATATCTGGGAGCAGTTTCTATTGTCAAGATGGAACAAGCCGAAGTTGTTGCTCTCAACTAGCACATCGAGTCTCAAGTGACCATCACTCCCGATGCGCTTCAATTGTTCTAACGAACAAAAGTGGCTATAATATGGATTTAGTAGCTAAAAATCTTGAAGATGGCCGTTGGCTCACATCAGAAGATTATGTTGGTGGCAACAGCGTTAATATAAATTGCGAGCCACATTCTCTTTTAGATAATGAATCCGAGACTATTTCTAGTGTTACAGGTCGTTTTCTTGGTGGATTGACAGGCTATGTTAGTTTCAAAATAAATGACGATATGACAAATGAATTTACTATCTCCTGGAAGGTTCCTACAATTGGTTCACCTCAATACGAATTTAATTTTCTTAATGATACATCTAATCAGCATTATGACGTTAAAATGGACAATGTTTTTGAAAATACAGTCTACCAAATTACAATTAATAATAAAGATAATAAAGATAAGACATTCATTTCATCCATTATGTTCCTTGTCATTATTGTGTTAGTTATCATTGTGATTTTTGCCATTGTATCATGTTGTAACACATGTAGACAACGCTTTAGGCCAGGACCACCTGCAGGTTTTAATACACGCGTTATTCCAGGACCACCTGTAGATTTTAATACACGCGTTATTACAGTACCACCTGCAGGTTTTAATACACGTAGACAACACCCCAGGCCAGGACCACCCGCAGGTTTTAATACACGTGAACAACACATTAGGCCAGGACCTCCTGCAGAACGCTGAGTGTGCCAAGTCTGGCATTTAGATAGTCAGATTATTGTAAATCTTCCGGACAGATATATGACAAATAATATTTTATAATAATGATTAGATTTGATGCAATAGGCTAGCTCTTTAAACATAGTTCTCTACCTTAACTAGTTAAAGTTACAAAAAACATGTTGGTAAAAGTTTGATATAGAAAGGGTAAAGCATGTTAAGTAGGCAGAAGTATTTTATAATTATTAATTATTATAATTAGTGTAAAAATATTTTTACAATTGCTTGATAGAGATATAAATTAATTATCGTATATTCAGATTTATAGATTTACTGTATTTAACACGGTTCAAGTAAAATATTTATTTAATTGCCACAATTTTCAATTTAGTGCGTATTATTTTTATTTGCTTTTTTTGCACAAAATAAGATATTAAAGTATTTTGAAATTCTCTGATCTTTGTTTTCTACGCAAAAACACAAAATGAAATGATAAAAATTACAATCACGCAACCAATTTTATATCTAATCAAGTTCAGTATGTACATTAACGTATCATATATACCAGAATCAGACAACCATAACAACCCAAGCAATTGCGCAACCTAGAGCTTCCTTTCGAACCATAACTGAGAGAAAGTATGATATAGGCAAAACGGCTGGTACGTAAACTTTACCAATTTCACAGTTACTGGACAACCGTTATTTATCACACGTACAGTACATCCGTCGAAAGGACTTTATAAAACGCCAAGAACAGTATTTGATGTAGTCTTAGATAATTCTCCGGAAACCTCAAAAGTAATGTGTTCCCCAGGAACGAGAGGATTGGTGAAATTTTTACGAGTGGGTTTATAAGGGATCCGCTTGATTTGCAGAAAGTAGTAAAATCGAAACCAATAAAGTAAATGCAAAAATCATGATCCTTTTCATGATTTTTCTTTTGCGAGTAATAGACAACTTGGCAAATATCTCGTTGTAGTAAATCATTGCCTTTTTGTCCGGAGAGAAGATATATGTCTACGCATTATAAAAAATGATTGATCACGTGAGTTTATCTCTGTCCACTCACGTGATGTCATTCAATGAAATCGCAAATCTCTTTTTTTTTCGCTCTGGACTTACAACGGTTTCCGTTTCCTAGTTATAAAAAAAAATATTTCCACCTTTTGAAGCGAAATGAGAACGCTTTTGCAACTTTAGGCAACCTAACTAGTTTAGGGTAGGATAGTTTGATAATCACATGATTTTTTGGTACACTATATTGATGTCTGTAAATTTGTTTATGAAAATAGGAAAATAGGGAAGGAATCCATGGAATCTAAAACCATCTATTGTTTATATACTATCAGTTTTGCATTGCTAAATTTCGTCCTAATCGATGATATTCTGAGTACAATTAGTTTATAAACCCCTCCTTTCATTTTTACATAATACAATTTCTGGCTCTATTTATGTGAAATTATATATTGTAAATTTACTTTAATTTAGCTTTCATGAGTTTATTTTGGGATTACATAATTTCTAATGTGCAGTATAGTGAATTTCTCACTATAACGAATTTTAATCTCCAGTCCATGGGATTCACTATAGTGAGGTAATGAACCCGGCTACTATTTTTTCCGGGTGACTCTATTTTAAAGCATATGATTTCATGGTTGATCGGCTTCAGTATTAAAGCGATAATCCATTTAGTCATAACAAATTTCTAATACACATGAACGATCGGCAAATTCGTATCTGTATAAATTAAAAGCTATTCGTCAAGACAAAGTCTTAATACGAGAAAGGCATATAATCAATTCCTTTTACAGAATTAATAGATATTATGCTACATTATGATATATACTGTAATCTAATATGAAATCACAAAAAGCTTCTCACAATGGTTCAAAACCCACTCATCATTTTTGCTATTGTTATTCTAGTTGTTCTAGTTCTCTCGCCAACTTTTACCTATTCTGAAGATAATAGCTCTTTCTCTTGTCAAGATGGAACAAGCCAAAGTTGTTGCTCTCAACTAGCGCACCGAGTCTCAAGTGAACATAATTCCCGATGCGCTTCAATTGTTCTAACGAATGAAAGTGGCTATAATATGGATTCTACAAATAAAAATCTTGAAGATGGCCGTTGGCTCACATCAACAGATTATTTTGGTGCCAACAGCGTTAATATAACCTGCGAGCCACGTTCTCTTCTAGATAATGAATCCGAGACTATTTCTAGTGTTACAAGTCATGTTTTCGGTGGGTTGAAAGGCTATTTTAGTTTCAAAATAAATGACAGTATGACAAGTGAATTTACTATCTCCTGGAAAGTTCCTACAATTGGTCCACCTCAATACGAATTTAATTTTCTTAATGATTTATCTAATCAGTATTATATCGTTAATAACAACAAAACCTTTGAAGATACAGTCTACCAAATTACAATTAATAAAATTAATAAAATTAATGAAAATAAGACACCCATTTCATTAATTATTGTCATTGTGCTCCTTGGCATTGGGTTAGTTGTCATTGGAATTTTTTTCATTGCATCACGTTTTAACAGAGGACCACTTACACTCGTTATTGCATGTTTTAATACATGTAAACAACACTCCAGGCCAGGACCACCTGTAGTTGTTAACACACGTGAACGATCTGCCATTTATATAGTCGAACCGTGTAAATCTTCCGGACAGATATAATATTTTATAGTAATTATTAGATTTGGTGCTCTTTAAACATACAGTAGCTCTCTACCTTAACTAGTTAAAGTTAAAAAAAACATGTTGGTAAAAGTTATGATATAGAAAGGGTAGAGCATGTTAAGTAGGCAGTAATCATTAATTATTAATTAGTGTAAAAATATTTTTTACAATTGCTTTATAGCAGAAATCAGAAATATAAAATTAATTATATATTCAGATTTATGGATTTACTGTATTTGACATGATTCAAGTAAACTATTTATTTAATTTTCACAATTTGCAATTTAGTGCATTTCTTAATATTATTCATATTATTTTTATTTGCTTTTTTCTGCACAAAAATAAGTTATTTAAATATTTTTGTTCTTTTATTAGTATTAAGATATTTAAAAATTCCTCTGACCTTGTTTTTTATGCAAAACACAAATGAAATGATAGAAATTACTACATATATATTGTTAGCAAGAATCTCTTCCATTATACTTATAATAATTTAAAAACAATAATTCTTATTGGAGTGCAAAAATAATGATATCTTCTTGAATTTTATTAATCCATCTATTTATTTTAGATGTGATTCATAAGAAATAAACTAGTTTCATTAAAAGACATGGATTCTTATAAGAAATATTTGAAAAAGTAAATTGGAAAACTTTAGCATTAAAAAGTATAATGCTTTTAAAAGATAAAATTAAAGTAATATATAGATACGATATATTAATTTCTTGTTTGAGAAATTTTAGTCATGTAATTTGCAAACTTTTCCAATAAAATAGAACTAATTAGAAGAAAATCAGGTGAATTTTATATGGAATGTATATTTTTAGTCAAGTTTAAATAAACAACTTATCATATATAATGTTATTTCTAATAGTCATTTGAATAATTTAACAGAGTGCCTGCCTTTTTAAAGTAAAAAATTGATTAGAAGAAAAATACATTAGCATATAAACATCATATCTGCTAAAATTAAAAAAAAAAATTAAAAAAATAAATCAAGTTTCACAAATCCAGATTGTAATATAATATGATTATATGATGTATAATTAACAAAAAAAAAGTTCAAATAATTATAATAAATAAAAAATGTCTCTTATAATTTCTTTCTTTATACTTTCTCATCAACTTTTCCATCATTTTTCAAGCTTAACAAACTAAAAATTTTTGCAAGTAAATGCAATAATATTTTTACATTAAATACTTCTGTAAGCTGTAGCTTTCTTTATTATTTGAAAAATTATCTTTTAAAAAAAGCTGCTAATAGAAAACAGTTTAAAAATTCATAATTATATTAAAGAATTATTTTTAAGGTTAATTTGATTTGTAAAAAGAAAATTTAGGTAATTAATATGAGTTGATTATTTATATATATAAATTTATTTATTTTTAAAGATGATGGTGATTTACAATTTACAAGAATTAAATAGATGTTGTGGATTACATGTATAGTATATTAAATTAATTATGTAAAATTGATTATGATATGCTAAATTAAAGAATCAAAAGATATTTTAGTAGCATCCTTTAAATTGAATCAAATTTTAATTCAGCTTATTTAATCTATTGATATAATCTAAATCTGGAGTTTTTTTTTATTATTATTATACTTCACTTTCTTCAAGAAAATGTTGTTTTTAGTAAAATTTTATTTATATTTGTTTGAAAAGAGTCAGATTTATTTCAGTGTTATATGGTAGGAAGTAAAGCTCCGAACAGTTCCGGTTTGAACCGGGAACCGATCCGGAACCGGCAAAAAATTCGGTTCGGTTCTCGGTTCAGTTTTGGACTTGGAACCGTCCGGTTCGGTTCGGTTCTATCCAAAATTAAGAAAAAATGCGAAAAAACGAATATACGACTATCCAGTGATCGTACAAGGACGAGCCATAGCTCGTTGGAATCCTCTCATCGAGACGCGTCGAATGGTGGTAAAATGATGTCACTAGCATCGATAGATCGTTTTCTAATGCGAATTGTTTAAGAAACACACACCATGGGCTATCTCACGATCTATCGATGCTAGAAACTTGATTATACCACCATTCGACTCATCTCAGTGAGACGAATCCAATGAGCTAAAATTCGTCTTTGTGTGATCAATAGATGGCGTTTAATCGCTTGTATCGGAATTTTAATTTTTGATGTTCGAAAATTTAAAAAAAATGCGAAAAAACGAATACACGACCATCC